TGAGACGAGTCCTCGTTGGTCGACGAACGCTGACATTATCGCTTAGGTTCACACTGTCGAACACTGCCTTATGGCCACGAAGGTAGATGAGGTAGGCGATCTTTCAGCAAATCCTGGTAAATCTCGAAAACGCTTGTATTTTGATCCATGCAGCTAAACTTCGTTGCCAAATATATTGTTCTAAAGGTTGGGTTTTATCTAGTGTCCCTGATATGCAAGTGAGAATAACCCTCGTGTATAGCACGTAAAGCACGCTTGGCAGGCCTAGTAGACGGTGGTGTCGAAGATTTTCTCTATCACCTTTTAGAAAAGATAATTCTGCGGGAGGTTCTCCCTGGCCGGGGATCTTTCCCTTCTAATAAGGCTTTGGATGTACCGCAAGTTTCTCCTGTAGGCAATATACTACAGTTCGAAGTAAGTCGGCCAAAACGGCGTTAGAAGACACTGTCTTGGCATTTTAGGAGCAGGGCATGAGAAAATCTTTATGGCGAGTCATTTGTCCTTTTGGTGCGCTATCCAAGGTGTCCCAACTTGATACCGGTCTTGAGGACATCCAAAGCCACAGAAGTGATCAAGTGTGCATAGCTTTTTCTTCTTTCCTTACTACAATAACATTTTCCCCCAACGCACCAGCCGAGAGGTGCTAAAGTTTCACCACAAGCAATCGTTGGCTTAGCTGAATCAAGGAACCGACTAGCCACTAACTCAGCCAGACAGCGGCGCGTCTAGCAGAGCCTACTCTCAGCTGGGCGTCCGGGGTAAGCCTGCGTCGAGCTCCTTCTTATCGGGAGACTCTGCTGGACGGTACACCTCCGCTGTACTTCGCAGTTCGACGCCCAGAGTCACCTTCGCGCTTCTGAGGTGGTGGATCGCCACGGAGGCCCTAAACAGCAATGACGGGAAAATCATCATCTGGCGATGAATTTATCCATTGAAATCTTTGATTTTTGTAGGTTTGAGCCCCTTTTCTGCCTCATCTTAACGTCACTTTCGTCCAATTCTAAGCGTTTTATTCCGTGTTTGGAGCCTTTAGAACTTGCTGTTAGCCAAAATGCTGCCTAAAGTAGCATAGTTTCAAAGCTGCATTACCAAGTAGAATAAGAATCCTTGTGGCTTTTTCATCTTGATACTTGGAAGTGACTTTATAGGTGAATGATGTGCAGCGATTAATTGTTTTTGCCCAGATCAGCTCTTTTTTCGCTCAAATCTTCACATCCACATGTGCTGCAAATCCCTTGAATGGCCAGTGGATTGGCATCACGGTAGAAATAGAAGATGGCACAGCTTAGGCTGTTAATTTTCTTTCGTAGATCCAGCTAAACAACGAAACTTTGATGCATAGCTTTCTGCAGAATAGGTGGGCTAATAAGGCACAAGACGAAAGATCGAAGCAGATGGAATGAAAGAGTAATAATGAAGTCACGATAAGGGAATAGAACTAAAATAAATTCTCTAAAAGTAAATGAAAAGAAAAAAGACCGGATAAGTCGAGCTATCATAAGGGAAATAAAGGATCCAAATTTTCCTGTAATACTTTGATTTTTTAAACTGCACACAGTCATGAATATCACTCCACAACCTAAACATCTGTGCGACAAAAGTTGTAGACAAAGGATGTGGACGCTTACTCTGCGTAGGTTTGATGCAGCGGCGGTGGCAAGTTTTGCATTTACCCTTAAACCTACAGAAAATCCCCACTCCTCGTTTTGACTAACTCATATTATGCTTGGAGCAATCAGGGTTTTGCATCTAGGTAAAAAAAAACTTGATGTAAAACACAATGTAGAGAGATATCGGCAGACAAATGAGCTTTGACAGAACAGCTAAAGTGGAGAGAAAATTTGTGTTCCTTTTATGCTTAAGCGAAAGATCGAGAAAAGAGCTTTCACGTGTACCCACCCTATTATTGTATGTGTTAACAATTGCTTGATTAACATTTAATTCTTTTCAACAATGATTCCGTTTTGTGGCAGTGATTCTAGTAGTAATTGGTTAGTTATTCTAGAGTCTGACAGGATTCCCTGATATGTGATTAGAAAACCTAATTTGGTGATATGTTTATGAGTTGTTACGGTACAAAAGCGCTACCGTAATTCGAACTGTAAGTGTAAAAATACTAGCACGTTAAAAATATAATAATTTTAAGGATTTGGGATTGCATTCCTGTCGCAACTCAGTATGTAAGAACCTTTAAACATTTTTCTTATTGTGATTACATTTGTGATTGTACCCCGCGCGTATTATTTGTTTTAAAAAATAGGAGACTCAAATCCTATATAGTATGAAAAGCTTACCGAGTACGTTGCCGACATATTTCAAAGCAACTCTCCTCAGATTTGGAGATGTCCCGACGTTTACTTCATCTTGATAAGTAATCCATTAGTAGTCATCTTTACTTGCCACACAAAGAAAAAGTCTTTTGAAAAGAAACTAACCTCTGTGAGCTCTCTTTGTCCTTTTCTTTAACTTTGATATCCTCATGGTTTGTTCCTTCTTCACTCCTTTTTCCCGTTCTTCAACTACCTCATTGGTAAGCGTCAGCAGAGCTCCGCGCCTCCGAGTTTGGGCCCTTATAGGGTTGAGTAGTTTGCTTCTTGATGAATAAGTAGAATACTTGAAGAAAAATTTATTCTTCTTTACTTGGGAGCTTGCATTAAAAGTCACAACTCCAAGCGGGTTAACGTTGGAATCTGATCTTCTTCGAGCAGTGAAAGTCCGCAGCAAAACTGGCTTTTTAATATTAAGAGGTGCTTCTGTTTCCCTGAAGTTATCGCGAGCGTCAAACACTCGTATGGCACATTTGGCTAGGGCGACGGTAGTTCTGGCATCTTTCTCACATTGTTGATAGACTATCTGTTCTATACGGGGAAGTGATGATAACAGCTCTTTGGCATGAGCCTTAAAATGAGAGTACAGTAGGTGAGGTAAGTAATAAGCAATAAAGCTCTCCAACCTTTATGAGTCCACGAATCATCGCATTATGCCACAAATCTCTGAGCTTTTCTGCATCCATTTCGTAATAGCGGGATCTCAGAGGTTTGGCTTGATCTGGTATGGAGTCACGGATACATAGTGCTGAAGTGTTTATTGAATACTTATAACAACTGGAATCTCCAATAATTTGTTATACAGTTAAGAGATCCACAAAAGTGATGTTATCAGAACGGTTCATTCAATATATGACAATACAATGATGAGGTTCTCACCTCCCTGAACTATC